GAGTAACATCAAGAAGTGGACGTTACCAAACCGGGAATTGATTTCCTCATCCATCGTTGTTTTTTGAAGGAGTTCAAGAACAAAGGTAATTTTATAAATTACATATCAAATCAAAATTAGTAAAAGTTACTAGATTTTAAATGATGCTTATTTGTTATCTCGTTATACTTATGTACGGAATAAGTATTTATGAGATAAATACTTATAAAATTTTAAATTCCGCTGCAAACTCTGTTCCGTACAGTATATCGAAACCAACAATGAATCCAAGGATCCAGGATAATTCTTATTTCTTTAATTGTGTTTCATTCTCATTTGAGCGCACTTATATATATATAAGAGAATTTATTGTGTGGTCTAAATTGGGTTCTAATTTTACAAGTCAAATAAGTAATTATTCATAACTTACGGGTCAATATTATCTTAGACGTAAATGGAATACTCAATTATTTATAATTTAATAAATTACTCAACTACTTATGATATATGATATTATACCCACGAGGCTAAACCGGTATGCCAAACCGGTCTAAGAGGTTGTACCGGGAGGAAGCCGAGCCAAGTAGTGGAAAGATCGACCAGTCGAACAGTCGACCAGTCAAGCAGTCGAGCAGTCGAGTCGACCTCAATAGATCGACCACTTTATGGGTTGGCATATTCTTGAGTTCGACCTAGTCACAGGCGCGTGTAAGAGACTCTAACCGAATTTCAAGAGAATATTCAGAGGAATAATCATCCAATGTGCAGAGGACACGTGGCGAAATACATTGGTTGACATCGACAACCACCTCTGACAACTCCCAGCATCATCTCTGACATACGCGCGGCATGTCAGAGTACGGACGGGCAGTTGGGGTAGCCAGCTCACCATACCTGGGCAGCCCTTAGGTCAGGTATCTCACCCCTATATAAAGAGGGGTGAGCCTTTCTTCCTTAACACGATTTTTTATTATTCAACTCAAATATACTCATACACATACTTACTTAAGCATCGAAGGCTCCTCGCCGAAAAAACCTCCCGGTGTGAGAGTTATTTGCAGGATTCCGGCGTTCTACCGACGAGGGCAAAGACAATCTATTCCAAACCGGGCCAGGACGCTCACGCTTGCATTAACTTAATATTTTTTTATTTGGATAGCTTAAAAAAATAAATTTATTTTAATTAATGAAACAATATAAGTTTTATAATTATACTTATTATTCACATAGATTTTTGAATATATAATACATTTTTTATAATAATTATTTTATAAAATCACATTGTAGTCAAATCGAGTTTTTTAACAAAAATTTTAAAATGTCACATACTTTGAAGTGCAGATAATATAATTTATTATCAGTTACGTGCATCGTATGAGTTGTGTACTAATTTTAAATAGATATAGTTTATGTAATTTTGTACAAATTAAATTTCACATAAAATTTTCAGTAAATTAATATAGGTAAATTGTACTAAATATTGATTTCATATTTTTTATCCATAAATATTATTTAATGAGTATTCTTATTTTATGAATACTAATAAATATCTCTAGCTCGTGCATGACACGACATTCGTACTAATTTATAATTACAAGTTGAAAATTATGAATTTTTTGTTGTATTTTATAAAAAGGTACTAAAAATTGTCTTTTCTAGATTTTTTTTTTTTTTGAAATTCATGAAAACTTATCCTATTGACAAGTCCACCATCTATTGGATTGGTTTAAAAATAATAAGTTTTCATTGTCTGCTATTACCTATCATTATCCATTCTTCTGACTACCAATTCTTAACAAATGTACGCCCCCATAAGATTTCTGCAGCCTTTGAAATTCTCACCAAAAAAAATTCACTATATATAACCCATAATAATCAGATAACTCTCAAAATCCCTCAATCTTTCTTCTCAAATCTTGTCATTTTTTGATATGATTGGCCTTTTTAAGCTTGTCCAATCATTCTCAGTCGTTTTCCTTTATTGGTTTTATGTTTTCTCCTTGATCCCTTGATTCAAATTTTCATCAATTCCTTTCTCATATAATCTCTAACAAAAAA